TGGGAAGGCTCGCATACTCGAATTAGGCTCCTGCTGTCAGACAACTAAAGCACATAGACGGCGTGATGTAGGGCGACGCAATCCACCCCATCAGAGGAGCCTATATGTCATACCTCCCCATCCTCCCCCCAGCCAGCCACCAAGCCACCAAACCTCCCGACATCCGTTATAAACAATCCCAACCCGAGATCCGAACCACAGAGATCTCATCCCTGCATATATACGTCACTTTTCGCGCCTATTGTCCCTGATGCCGGCGCATCCCCTGGCCGTCGCCGTATTTCCCGGGGAAGACTGGATGTAGACGCGGGGTGAAAATTGGTCATCGGGGACAGCATATTTTACTGTGCGTTAGTTACTCTAGTTAGTTGGGAGGATGGGAGCCTTTGATTGGTGAGTCCACTAGCTGCAGGGGAGATATTTGGTTAAGAGTCGGAATTCGGCGCCAGGGCAAGGATAGATGTGGAGAAGCAAAGGCCTCATCTACTCTCTACCTATCCAGATCACACCGGTAGAAAGGATAAATACAAATTCTCTAGAGTATATAGATAATTTAGTAGGCCTACGATCTCGTTCCCAGGACACGAGATTCATGTACTTTGGATGCAATGTTCTAAATCTTCCAAGAGTTGCAGACGTTGCCAAGCAGGAGAAACATTTTTGCGGACTGTTGCACAGCGCCATGACGAGCATATCCGCCGCGGCAGAGGCGGCGCCACAAAAGCCTCTGAACCAAAGCGCTGGGTGTGAGACATGCATTGCACCTATATTTCCCCGGAGGGCTTGGTTTACTTCTATGGGACATTGGGCGTTCAGTGAGAGCTGAAGGCGAGGAGGGCCAATTAGAAATGTATACTATGTACTGCTTGATACAAAGGGCTTTAATTTGCTTTGGATTTGGAGAACATACTTTGCACCTGAACCGCCCTGGCCTGGGTGTGTTTCTCTCCCCACAAGTTAGTAGCCACACGAATGAATATTCCTGAAGAATTTGAGCCTGAGGGATAATACCCTCTGCAGCTAATGTGGGTTCACCGTTTTCCCCCTTGCTTAATATCGATATATTAGACTAACATACAAGCACTTGTCTAAGCCAGTCACGGCGGGGCCAAGCGGCCGGCCGGAACATTTGTCACGGCCGGCTTCGTGATGCTCGCTCGCCCTTTGGTAGGGGGAGAGAGAGAGAGAGAGAGCTAAGACAGGGCACGCAGCGCAGGGCTAGGGCCGAGGCCTGGGAATGAACCTTCCCTCCCATGTCCCATGGATAAAAAGCAACTGCTCCTTGCGCAGTCCCCGCACTCGGCTGTTGGGGCAGATCTCCGGTTTGGGGAAAACACAACCTCTTTCCCCCTGTCCCTGCCGGTCCCACACGTACCTGGATAGAATGCTTGTTGTACCTGAACTCCACATCTCCCCAGCTTTTAATTAGGCCCGGAGGAAGATCTGCAGTGAAAATATCCTCATGGGAAAGATGTTTGAATCTATTCTCTGTCATCCCATGGATCAGCTGGAATTAAAGCTTCCTCGCCTGACGAGCGACGTTTAGTTCTTTGAAACTCCGGCCGAGCGGTGTCACTCCCCTCCCATGATGCCGGTGGAACCTAGATAGAGAGAGGTACGTAGGCCTAGGCCTGTAGATGGTTTGTGCTTCGGATCCATGAATAACGGTTCTCGTAAAGTGTATTCTCGTAAAGATTTTTGGGTATATATACGTCGTCTTTCTCCTGTGGACAAAGACACTCACTCACCATCAGCTCCACCAGCTTCTTCACAGTCCGGTATTTAAGCAGTCATCAAACATCACTCGGCACAATGAGATTCACTATCTATCAGGCCATTGGCCTTCTGTCTCTGGTCTCGGTTTCGCTCTCACGATCCCTCCCCGAGAAGCGCCAGACCAGTGTAGCCGCGTGGGTCTCGACTGAGCAAAATATTGCTTTGTCCAGTCTCTTCCGCAACATTGGATCCTCTGGAGAGTTTGCAAAGAGCGCTGACCCTGGTGCCGTTATTGCTTCTCCTTCAACGAGCAGCCCTGACTAGTAAGTACTCTTACTTCTCAACAAAGTTTCATATCGAGGTTATACTGACATATCAATAGCTACTACCAATGGACTCGTGACTCCGCAATGGTGTTCAAGGTTCTTCTCAACCAGTACATCAATGGAAACAGCTCTCTCGAGACAATGCTCAAGGAGTATGCCACCGAGAGCGCAAAGCTCCAGAAGACCAGCAACCCCAGCGGTAGCTACACCACCGGCGGTATCGGCGAGCCCAAATTCTACGTCAACGGTGCCGCCTTCACTGGCGGCTGGGGCCGCCCCCAACTCGACGGCCCAGCCATCCGAGCCACCGTCCTAACAAAGTTCGCCAACATGCTCCTCGATGCCGGCGAGACCTCCTATGTCACCTCAACCCTCTACGACAGCGCCTTCCCCACAAACTCCGTCATCAAGGCTGACCTTGAGTACGTCGCAAACTACTGGACCAACTCCGGCTTTGACCTCTGGGAGGAAGTCAACGGCCAGCACTTCTTCACCTACATCGTCCAGTACCGTGCTCTCGTCGAAGGCGCCGAGCTCGCAAACAGACTCGGCGACACTGGCGCCGGAACCTACTACACCACCCAGGCAGCCGCCATCAAGGCCAAGCTGCCCTCCTTCTGGAGCTCCAGCAAGGGCTACCTCCTCGCAACCCTCAACACTGGCCGCACCGGTCTCGACTGCGGAACCCTCCTGGGCTCTCTCCACGGCAATGGCGCTAGAGGCTTCAACGTCTACCCTGCATCCTCCCCCGAGGTCCTCGCCACCGTCAAGGCCCTCGTCGACTCAATGAAGACCCTCTACGCCATCAACACTGCCTCTGGCGCGCCCGGCGTCGCTATCGGCCGCTACCCCGAGGACGTCTATGACGGTGTTGGCACTAGCACTGCGAACCCTTGGTTCATCTGCACCCTCACCACCGCCGAGGTTCTCTTCACGGCCGCCAAGGAGTTCACCGCAGCAGGATCCATCACCGTTACTTCAGTCAACCAGGCCTTCCTCCAGCAGTTCAAGTCCTCGGCGAGCTCAGGCACAACATACGCCGCGGGCTCGACTGACTTCACAAGCATCATTGCGGCGATCAATACGTATGCGGACACCTTTGTGGCCACTGCGCAGCTGCATGCCGCGAGCAATGGTAGCTTGAGTGAGCAGTTCTCGCGCACCGACGGGTCCCAGAAGGGAGCTAGGGATTTGACGTGGAGTTATGCAAGTTTCTTGACCACTGCTGCGGCCAGGGCTGGAACCATTGCTTTCTAGACGATGTGTGTGTGTGTTCTGGGCTTTAGTTTTGTACTTTTTATGCCGGAATGTCTTGGCTTGTTTTTTTTTTCTAGCTGGATAAGTGGTGGATTTGTATTTAGCAGAGACAAAAAAAAAGTTTGTAGTTGCTTTAAATTGATATGGATTTGCGGTTGAAATGATAGGATTCGTCGTTTTTTCATCGAATAGTGTGACTGGGCATCAGGCTTTACCTATTTTCGGAGTAGAGAGTAGTTAGATGCCGGACTTGACGAGAAGTATATTGAAAAATCTATTGGTTATAGAGACATGATATTAGCTATTTACTCGGGGCAGGCAAATAAGAACCTGAAAATGCAAGCTGCAAGTAAGGGCTCAATTTGGTGTAGCTTTTCGCCAGTCGCGAATTAGAGGTCGTTACTACTAAAAGTAATTTTCAGGTTCTTCTTACCTGCCCCGAGTATAATATATAACTCCATCCGTCATACATTGCTTTATCAGCTTAACTATCCGTCCGTCATACGTCGCTTTATCTCAGCTGTATTCTTGGCAGACAGAACGTAAAGTTGCAGCAAGAGAGTTGTTCTAAAAAACGTAGCTCATTGCGGCAATAGACAACCTAGCCCAGTCAGGCAGTGTACTTTGACTGCACGTGGCATATTCCACATAGAAAACCGAACTACGTTTATGTAAGTAATGAGCTCAGGCACCCCCCAAAACTCCATGGTTGAGCGACATTTTTACATGCTAATAAAACCCACCCAAGACCAGCATTTTCCAACAGCCTGTGTATCACAAAAGTTTCTGTAATGTTTACATGTGGTTCTAGAATCCACGGTTTGCAGTAATACGGGTTGATGCAGTTGCAACATGAGATATCACTCGGTTCGGTTGTTCCGCTGCAAGAGGCCTAAATTGGGTTTTGTTTGTTTGTAGGGCACTCCATGTAATTGGCTGATAAGCGATCGGTGATTGCTAGCGCGCAGGGTTCTGTAATAAACAAAAGTAGTAAACCGGGTCTGTGCTAACATGTTTAGTGACATTATAAACCAGAAGGATAGATAAAGAGCATCACAGGAAGGGCGTCTACTATATATCACAAACTAGAGGGTGTAAGAACAAAGCATAAACACTAAGCTTAAGGCTTTTTTTCTCCTACTCTCTTGAATTTTAAACATAAATCTTAAACCAGTGAGTTCATATGATTCGAGGTCAACTAGAGAATATCTACACAGTATGGCCGTTGAATAAGGCAAATCTGTGTATAGGTGCACAAACATCTACCACGGGGAATGTGCTTCTGTGCATATTTCTCAGATCGTTTTGTGATTCCATTGAAACCCCTGAAAGCTACATGCACTGCTCGATACATGTAGTTGTGCTCTAAACACTCTGAGTACTGTCCAACTGCAAACTTGACTCGTGCAACGGATCTTCAACTTATTATGTAGATTAATTAGCCTGCTGTGCCGTATACATATTGGGTGCCTGGATTCTGGTAAACAACGTCGTTGAACTTCAAAATATCTTATATTGGACACCTTTGGCAGGTTTCATACCTCCACCCCCACAACCCTTTCCAACCCTTCTCTTCTTGATATTTATCTTCAGGCCTACCTCATTTTGAAGATTGGTACAGAGAGTCTTCTAGTATATCGATCTGATTGCACTTTTTTACTGTCAGGAAAAAGAAAGAGATAAAACCGCCAATTATCTCAAATGAGGAGAATCCAGTACCCAGCAGGGTTAATCGTAAAGGCCAACCTATGGCCTAAAATCACCAGACAAGCACTTGCGGTGTATGGGAATAAACGAAGATCATTTACAAACCCCCACCCTCGCGAAAACGGAGGGACGAGGTGTATCTCGACCCGATTTTCTCAATCGTTACACCCAATATCAAGCGATATTCCTCCGATATCCTGGGAAGAAAAACTCGATGATTACCGGAGCTTATTAGGACGCTGCTGGAGGAAAGCATCAGATATCAAGCGGGGTGAAGAAATTGACGAAAAATCAGCACTAGAAGAGATGTCAATTCTGGAATGGGAGTTTGACGATATAACCAGGAGTCTTCTATACGACTTAGGATTGCTTACCCCAACCCCGGATGTAAAAAAAGACGATGAAAAGCTCAAAGAAGGAGTTTTACCACCAATTTTACTTCCTCGGGTCAACGTGGGTGATGTTTTCAACGTGCTGAGTGGCAATGCCAAACTTCGTCCAATGGATGTGAACTTGCACGAACTTATGCTATTGCTGAATGGCAAGTTTGGGCCCTATAAAGTTGTCAAGAAGCTTGTTAACCGCACATTATCACTAAGTTCGACAAAACCCGACTGGCTTCTTATCGACCCTTCTGAGAGATCCTTTTCCGTCTATCGGGTTCTTACTGCGTACCTTTTCTATACTTCTCTTACTCCACAAGATATTCGTAGCGTTCTGTCAACTCCATCCGTTATTGAGGGGCTGTCAGCGATAGATGATTCCCTAATTAAGGAGTACTTTTCCTTCCTATTGCTGTATCTCGAGATGTGTGAGTCAGACGATGATCTACGTCTGAAGTACCCAAAGACCAAGAAAGGGCTGAAAGAGGCGCTGATAATTCAGGAGGATTTGGAGGATTTTTTTGGCCGCCAGTCAAGAAGGGTTCTTATGGGTCGATTGAAGGATTGCTTGTTCCTTTACAACTCAAATGGCGGATTTGCTCCTGAAAAGCCTGTAATACACAGAAGTGGTCTTACTGGCGAACAGAAAGAGATTGTAGAGTTGGACCTCAATATTGGGGAGGTTCTCAAGATCAAGGCTTTTGCTGGGACTGGAAAGACCACGGTTTTGACTGAGTACGCTAAAGCTCGGTATGTACACGCATCGTCTATTCTGGATTGGTAATGATCAGACTGGAGAGCTTACTTGCCAAGACCTGAGGAGAAATGGCTATTTCTTACTTTCAACAATAGCGTTCAAAAAGATGCCGAAAGGAAATTCGGCCCAAATGTCGTTTGTATGCTAACTTTACTTGGGGTGCGTCTCGTTTATCGTGTCTGACCATGAGGTTTAGGTCGGACCATTCACTCCCTCACCCGCGAAACGGTTCTCAGGATGCGACCAAAGATAAAGGCACCAGCGAGCTCAGAAAATAACCTCGTGCGTGAAATCGTACAGGTTCTGGACCTAGAAAACAAAGAGACTCTCAAGACAGCAATGCTTGACCCATCACAAAAACTTCCAAGAGCATCAAAGGTGGCCAAAGTAATCAACGAGAACCTCCTTACATTCTTCACTTCGGCTGAGGTCGAAATTGATTATGCATCCTTGCACTGGATGATGGCTGATAAGCTGGGGCTGAAGAAGAATGTTGTTCTAGAATGGACACGGAGAGCTTGGGACGAGCTGCAAAGGCTTCAAGGGCCGTGCTTTCCGCATGATGGATACTTGAAGATGATGCATTTAGATGGAATTGATAGTGACAAAGAGGGTGTGAGGTGCAGAGCGGATGACTTAGCTTTTGGTCAGTTCGACGGGATCATGTTTGATGAGGCCCAAGTAAGCCACACCAATCTCTCTTTCGCGTAAAACTTGCTAATAAAATTAGGACGCAGATTCAGTAATGGCAGAGATCATATTTAGACAACGCCCGTTTTCACGCATAATCGTTGTCGGCGACCCCAACCAGATGATTTATGAATTTAGAGGAACAAATAACGAGTGTTTTGACGATAGTCTCTACCCAACAACTTACAACAAGTCGTTGACATATTCATTTCGCTTTGGTCTGGGAATTGCTGCGGCTGCAGCACATTGTCTACGGGCTATAGGTGAACCGCTTACGATGAAGGCTATCGGGGATGTTGATGTACTCAAAACAGACTTTCCAAAGGTCGTGGAGGAGGTGGATCCTGTTATAAATCCTACAATCATAGACAATCTACCGCCAGGTTTGCCTTCTGATGGCGGGAGTGGAAAACATGTAGTGATTTGCCGAAAAAACAATTGTAAGCTTCATTTCCCTCTCTAAATGGGAGCCTTTCTGACAATTTGATATGTAGCCCTAGTTTCAGCCTTATTCTCGTACTGTCACTCGCACCCAAAGCACAAGGTGTACCTTAAAGTTCCGACTCACATGAAACCTCGCACTTTGTTTTCCTATCTTAAGGATGCATACGAGTTGAAACAAGGGACTCCCACAATTACTGGGCCTCTCAGGGGACTCAGATCTATGGAAGCACTTATGATAAAAGTCCTTTCCGAGTCTCCGATTAACACAGGCGCCTCAAAAAAATGCAAGTCACTTTTGGAAGAAGCGGAAGAAGAGCTGGAGGCCATCAATCCCAAAATAAAGTCGCATTTAGAGGCAATGACGCGAAAGTATAAACTCAAACGCCAGGATCAGCGTCAAATACAACAACTTCTTAAAGGCAGTCCTACACCAAAAATTGAAAGGTTTCTTCAGGTTTTGATTTCGAGGGACCTTATACCACGAATGTTTCCTCCCGAGTTGAAGTTGGTGGCAGGGCTTGAGAGGCAAAACCTATTATCGGACCTCAGTTTCCTTGCTAAAATTGCTTTTTGCGCTGAAAGGATAGTGGATGATGCAGAGGATGCAGATATGATTCTGTGTACTGCACATCAGGCGAAAGGACTTGAATGGGATAATGTTGTGATGGCAGATGACTTTGCTGCTCTCCACATACATAGGCATAGTAGCGGGGTGGGGAGCTCCGACCTTGAAAGCGTTCGAATAATGTATGTGGCTAGTACTCGGGCCCGGAAAGAGCTGCATATGGGGCAAAAAATGGCGACTCTATCGGTTTCTGCATCTGGAAGTTACGGTTTCTTCTTGAGCCCAGAAAATGAAGCGTGTCCCAAATATGATGATTGCGTGCGCGGAAAATCCAGCGAAGAAATCACGGACAACCCTGCCAACACATGTGGCCAGTTGATAGGCTACAGGACGGTAATGCCGACAGCACGATTTGGGTCGAATTTGGTACTCCGGAAAACAGGGAACTTTCCTTTCGGTGATGGGGAAGATGTGATTGGATGTCACAAATGCGTTGTTGATCTTTATAAGCCCGCTCTGCGCAGACTGATAGACTCTTATGCCCAGTTTGATTACGAAACGATGGCAGAGTTAGAGAGACTTGTGGATATCCTGAAACAGGCTTTGGACGGCGATTCGAGTACAGAAAGTGCAATTGTGCGTGAGCCAATGAGCCAGAGGGGTGGCTGGCTTCGCAAGTTTGAGGATATGAACGCTGCAGATGAGATAAGAGTTGGATCTTGGATGAGAAAGCATATGATGTTTTCATGGGGAGTTTGGTTTCTGCAGGCGCGTATGAGGAGGTCAAACTAAAGTATCGAATTCTGGTAATTCTGGTTTCTATGGACTTTTAACACACTCTACTCAGCTATTTTATTGCAAATACTTCTATTGGACATATAACATGAAAATGCCGGAAGAAGAAAGCCCGTCGCTAGGAGAAAGCTTTAAATCTATTACATACTCCATTTATTCACGATGCTAGAGAGGTTCAGCTTTTTTTCTTCTAGAATAGTCGCCAAATTTCATTATGATGAATCAGAAAGATCTTTAGGAATAGAGTCTTTTAGCTGCGCGAGTTGAACAAAAAGTCGAGCAGGTTGGACAGAACGTCTAGCTGTTTTAGGAAGAGACTGCGGTCGTTCAACCAATAAGATGTGCAGGAAATTTTGTCGGTGCCCGACCTTCTGTCCAACTCTTACAGCTAAAAGACTCTAATCTCCGAATGCGATCAAAAGACCTCATGATATTAATAGATACATATACTCTATCAAAGGGTACATCTATCATTACATAATTAGTAGTAGGAGGAGGAGAGCTATAAACCTTTCCTAAAGGAGCTAGGCTCATCCAGCGGATGTGTTACTGTATCTGTGCTAGCACATTGTCTCTCTTTCTCTATTTCTCAACTCTCAATCAATATCGTACAAGCAGATGTCACTAGTGCACCAGTGACGAGGAATCGAGTTGCTCTCTTCCGCAAAAAAATCAAACTAAATGTACATGTATGTACACGTACTCTATGAAGGGGCCGAATCTTGGCAACGCTTTAGATCTGGTTTACGTGCTAAGACGTGGAATCATGGGTTATCACTCGACGTTTAGCCACATACCACATGCCCATTTCGAGACCTCCTCTCCAACAAGAAAGCGAACAGAAAATACCAAAAAGGTAAAATCATCAACCACCAAAGCTCTACAAACCTGCCAACAGATTGCTACGACGGAAAAAGAGGCAATCTCCCCCCCGCTTGCAGGACTTACGTCTATCCTTCCCCCACAGATGAACGATCCAGAAAGTTTAGCCCCCCTATACAAATATGCCGCCAGTGTCCCGCTAAAGTGCGAGAGCGCCACAAATGCGGAGACACCCGTGAGGGTATTTTTGCCAACTCCAAATAGTATTGGGTAGTTCTTGTGCTGACAAAGGAATTTGAAGAGAAAGGCACCAAGACGTCCGCGTGGGCCAACCGGCGCATTTCTATCCTACAAAACGTGCATAGGGGCAACCTCAATACCGCACCCACAAGTGGCACCACTTGCACCGCCGATGGGAAGAGTATGGAATCGAGTTGAGCTTAGCGATGGATCTAAGCCTGTAAGCCCAGACATTCCCATATTAAGCCGAAAGAAAAAGAAACTAATGTGAAACTCCCTCCTCCTGGCAGAAAGCAATCAGCCCAGAAGATCTCGCCAAGCTGGAGCTCCAAGAAAGAGCCCTTACAGATGCTCTAACCCAGCGTATTCAGTGGCAAAGGGCCATGATGGAGAGGAACTACAAGAGCAGGATTCTGTCGGCAAGGCATCTCGGCCCCCCAAGGAATAAGCTGAAGCGTCCAAGCAGTGTAGAGGCAGCCCGCTTCACCACCCTGACCCAGGCGACCCAAATGGTGGCCAGGGAGGCTTACAACGGGATCCCAGAAGATGAAATTAATCCTTATGTGAAGAGGGCTAAGTTTTATGATTCTGATTGAGTTGCTCAAATCTACCCTTCATGATGAGATATTTGCGTGCATAGGAAATTGGATAGAAGGTCTCGTGCATATGTGTCTACTTACATATCTACTCATGTGTATTAGTAGTATCAGCTCCTGGATAAAATATTACCCATCATAGTCTTCTGTTGCTTTGGTCATTGCTAGTCAGTCTCAAGCGTTTGATTAACGTCTCAACAATATTACCTACTCGGAAACTGACCCGATATCGCATGAGTCTTCGGCAGATCTACCTTTACATATACGTATATAGCTTGCCAGCTAACTAATATGTAGCTATCGAGTTGCCGTGCCCATGCAGCTGCCTTATATACCCATTGTGTTTTAAGTGAAAGGGCCAATATTTTGCAAGGATTAAGAAAAAGAAGTGTCAATGATTAGAGAGGGGAGCCGATTATCGTGCCATTTCTATTATCAAACCCATGTCAGGAATTTCCGGGTGCTGCCGGCTCTCGGGGAAAACATCTCACGAGGAAGCGACGAGGCAGATCTTGTTCGCGCGGGGTATGGTTGTTTTCCACGACTAGACTAAATCTAAAAGTAGTTTTCCTGCACCGAGGTTTCCAACGGAGATTTATGCTTGATCCCGCTATAATTAATCGTAGCTTGACTGACTGTGTTCCTAGTGACCTTCTTACTAGTAATCTATTTTTTAGGGGTGGGATGATGGTTTCGAACATGTGAATTCGCGTGCGCGTGTTGGGGACTTCTGCCGAGTCATTTCCTATGATGGCTAGCAAACGCCGCACCCATACAAGCACGTGTAGGCCGCAGCACATATCCTCACGGGGGGGGATGGCAAGGGCGCCAAAGAAGATTGCAACTGAGAGATGACTGAGTACGTAGACGAGTCCTCGAGTCCCTCCCACATACATGCGCTTCAGCACCCCAACGCATGTGTCCAGAATATAAGCCACTCGTGGCTGTGGCGCATGGATATGAGTATGCGTAACTACATCGAGTACTTCATGTACCTATGTCCTCGTCGTTCGAGCAGTTCACCGACAAGACACGGCGAGAAGTCCTCATCGATGTCGAAATAAGCTTTTGCTTACTAGGATGAATATTGCTTAGGCTTGTGTCTTCCTGTTATGTAGTTTTCGGAGAATTAAGCGAGCTGTTGAGATGACGATGGGGCTGCCCAGGTTGCGTTAGCTAAGGATGATGTATGTATGTATGTCCGTACCGGGGAGTCTCGGAGATCGAAGTGGGTCAGTTCTATGACCTTCGCAACCCCGTCCACACCTCATTCAGCCAAAAATCATGAAGCTGTGAAAGGAAAAGACCTTTTTTTCCGGCTTTTCTTTGCTAGTAATATACTGGACACCTTCAACCAGGTAAGACACTTCACGTGCTCGACAGAAAAAAGATCACCACAATATCTGCAACTAAATCGGCGAGCTTCGGACTCCCTGCTCACAACTCGATACAGCAGGAAATTCTTGCAATCAAAAGCCTTAAAAACCAGATAGCTTAAGCTGTCTAACCCGGTGACTAACCCTGGGCTATATTTAATGGAAAGATATATGCATGCCATGTTCCGGAGATGTTTCATCGCCACGAGGGTACTCGCCAAACACTACGTCGGTACTCGGGGGTTTCATGGAATGCAATCACTTATCGGAGGAATGATTAGAAAAGAGGGAAAAAACAATACACCTAACTGCGGGGTCGGGTTTGTCGATGGCCATGACCATGGGACATCGGCGCCCCCAAGCAATTTTTTCTTCTTGTGGGGCTCAGTTACGCCCCTTTGGCACATGAAACATCATTAAGGAGTGTCAAGTGCAGAATGCCTTGCTCTGGTCCAACGTTACACTGTACGGCGGAAAATTGCGGATATATTGGCATCACATATATGAAGGTACATATGTAGATATGTATCTGTAAGTACTACATTAGTAAAGGATGAATAAAGTGGTTAATTCAACCATCACATTCTTGCCTGAAGCTTAGTGTCTTACCATTGCATTAGTTGAGTAGTTGCGGCAAAATGTTCATCCATGAGCAAGGCATTCGCATTCATTGCTCCACTCATACTTTAGAAGTGAGGGGGCGGCGGCACCTACCCCATAAACCGGGGTGTAAATTTGTAAACCCTCAGCGGATCCATGCTGATGCGGAGATGGCGGAGGAAGTGGTGGTGGTGTTGGTGGTGATGGATGTGGTGGAGGTGGTGGAGGTGGTGGAGGTGTCTAGCATTGTGTTATTAGGCTGGAGAGAGGTGTAGTAACCACACTTCAAAGTCGAGGACAACTTGATAACCAGGTATGGTGTCTATGTAGCCTATCCACTTTAGGATGGTGGCATAAGAGAAACACTCAAACATTCCTTAGCTCGGTCACTAGACCCCTCCACTTCTTTTCCCTCTCTTTCCCCCTCTCGTTTCCAACTCCATCCCCGCCCTCGCTCCCTTCGTCCACAACACACGGAAAAGGGAAAATAAAACTGAAGCCATTTGTATTCGCGAGCCAGGGGAAAGATTCTACAGAGCACATAATTGAAGTACGTTAAGGGGCTAGCCCAATGTAGATGTACCGTAGATATCTAACCGAGAGGGGAACTGTAATTGTTCTACCACATTGGGACATAGTTAGTACTATTGAAGGGATCGAAGCCAAAAAAACGCCACACCACAAAAGAAACAAGTTTCAGCGATCCGTGATAAGAGAGTGACCTTGTGTGAAGCAAGAATCCAGAGCTAGTGGGGTATGTTTCCGTTTCTGGAAATATATCACTTTGTTGGAGAACTTTAAAGTATATTTCTTCTCTCTCTCCCTGATACAATTCAATTGCAATCCAGAGAGTCTTGCGTTGCATATCTTGCATCTGTCTGCTCTGACTACACTTACTGCTGTCGACCTCACCTCACTTCACCTACATCAAAAACATCACACTCTCTGTCATCCAATCCATCCATCCATCCATCTCTATATACCCAACCCTTAAAGACTCTTCCATCACACAATGCTTTCACTAAGGCTGCCTATTCGCAATCTTGCTGCTGCCACCAGCAAGAGATCTGTTGTCATACCTGCTACGCAGAAGCCTGCTGGGGATATCTCTTCTGTGTTTCCTTCACTTTCTGGTGTAGCATCTGCCCCGCTCCAGCCACGCTTTGCGACGCTCAAATCAAAATTCCTCAAAGGGAATGAAGAGCAGTTGCAGGCTTCGTGGGACAGGTTGACCAAGGCACTCAAGCGAGAAGTTGAGGAAATTGGCGAGATGGGGACTAAGGTTTGCTATTCTTTTTTTTTTTTTTTTTTTTTTTTGGATGTTTGTTGATAGTGGAATAGGTTATCCCAACTATTGAGTACAAAGATATCGCAAATGCATCTCCACTTGATATTGCGGAGATCAAACGCCGCGGAACTGTGGTCATTCGCAACGTGATCCCTGAGGAGGAAGCTCTTCAGTTGAAGGCGGATCTCAAAGATTATATCCGTCAAAACCCAAAGGCAAAAGGTATATAATATAACACATCATTTCTTTAGTTGTTTTCTTAGCGCAAACTAACAACCTTCTTTGTTTCTTCCACAGCCTTTCCTGCTGCCTCTCCGGCTGTCTATGAGCTTTATTGGTCACCCTCTCAAGTCCGCGCTCGCTCGCACCCGTCGCTCCTTAAGGCTCAAACGTTCCTCATGTCAATGTGGCACAGTTCATCTTCCGCCACCCAGATCTCGGTCAAACATCCCCTTACCTATGCTGACCGGCTCCGTATCCGTCTTCCCGGTGATGCTGGGTTTGCGCTTGGCGCCCATGTCGATGGTGGCTCTTTGGAGCGCTGGGAAGATCCAGAGTACAATGCGGTTTATAAAAAGATTTTTCAAGCTGATTGGGAGAACTACGACGCATATGATGCGCGCCATCGTGTTAATGCTACTATGGATCTCTACAACGGTGCCGGAAGTTGCGCCATGTTCCGCATGTGGCAAGGCTGGGTAAGCTCCTCAAAAAGTACCCTTTGCACAACGCAGGTCTCTGATGACTAACATTTTTAATATAGCTGAGTATGTCAAATACAGGCCCAAATGAAGGCACCCTCCTCGTCAACCCCTTGCTCAAGCACGCCACTGCTTACACGCTTCTCCGCCCCTTTTTCGCCCCATCTGCCGCCAACCCGAACTCTCTCTCCGGCTGGCGTATCCCCGAGACCACCACCCCAGAGTTCCCCGGCGCAGTTCCGGCTGCTTCTCAGGAATTTAACGATAAGTGGCACCCCCACCTTAATCTCTCAAAGACCATGGTCCATGTTCCTCGCGTTGCACCAGGCGACTTTGTTGCCTGGCACTGCGATACCATCCACTCCGTGGACCGCATCCACAAAGGCACTGGCGATAGCAGCGTCCTATACATTCCCGCTGTCCCGCTTTGCAAGACAAGCACTGAGTATGCGGTTCGCCAGCGTGACGCATTCTTGGCCGGTGTCCCGCCCCCAGATTTCCCCAGTGGCGACGGAGAGACCGGTGGTGGTATGGGAGGGCTCTCGGACGTTCTCGGAGGCGAGGGAAGGAGAGCTATGGGCCTCGGAAACGATGGTTGGAGCTTGGAAGGGCTTGAGGGGGGCGAGAGAGATATCGTTGAGAGTTCCAACAAAATCATGGGTTGGAACTAAACGGATCGGGGATTCTCACTGCTGGCAGATTCTTTTCTTTCTGGGGTATCGTGATTTCAAGTTCTTTTCCTTGAGGGTTCTATTTGTCAGGTTGCATTTTTCTCTCTATTTCTTTCTGGGTTCTTTTCGGTTTAGGTTCTGGTCTGGTCTGGTGTATAAAGTTTTAGTTTGGGTAGCATGTTTTCCCCCACAACAGCAGCTAGTGTCTATACAATGTCATAACGAATTTTAACTATTTTCTCACGCAATAAATAGACATACCTTATTATTGGTTCTTCCAGGCTGCGGTAGTAAGATCTCCCATTTTTCTTTCCGCAGTATCTTGACTTCTCTTTAGTGCTTAGCTTTCAATTTCGTACTCGCAGCGTCCTGGAAACCGCTTAACACGTATATCCATGAGCACTTTCTTCGATATGACTCATTAACCAATCTTATACGGCGCCTTCTTGGTTGGCTAAAACGTTAGTAGATGAAGTCGAAATCCACCCCGTCCGTTGTAGGTTTCGATCTGCGAGATGGGAATACTGGGATATGGAATTAATTTTTCCGAGGGTTATTGATTACGACCATATTTGAGAGGCTTGGCGCAAATGATTGGATGGCTCGGCGTGGGCGAGTGATCGTCTATGATGGATGCATAGGGTAAGTCTGGGGGGCGAGGAAATAGACTTAACCCCGCCAATCACTGCAGCTCATTAGCAAATTTCGTAGTGGGTATCATTTCTTCTATGCTTCTGCAGTTCCTATTTCTGGACCAGGAGTGGGGTAGATAGAGGTAGTGTAGCTAGCTTACGGGAGGGTGGGCGGTAGCGGCACTAGGAGAGAGGGGTGGCTTGGCCAGCACCAGTGCTTCTATGCTACAGAGAAACCGAGACTAAGATGATCGCTCAGCCCCGACATGCACAACCCTTTGCGCTTCGCACTGGAGGGTAGTGGATTCCAGACTGTTTCCGACCTGATGCAGCAGCAGAATACTGACAGTTTTCGAAGCGACTAGTTGTACCCCAGCGTGTCGGGGGATGTGTCCTAATTCCCTTCGGCGGTTTCTTGAGTATTGCCAACCTGAGGGATAGTTGATTAGCAGTTGAGATAAGAGTCTCGCACAAGGAAGATGAACAACAAGCATCATGGTAAAGCTGGAGGGGTTATGAAACTCTGGGGCCCTGAATAAGGTAGTAGCGACATACAAAGCTTTTGGCACATTCTAAAGACCAATAATGAGGCAGGTCATTTACCCGGATGTTCTTTCTGCCAAAAGCTATGGTCACATGACACAGCAAATTAACAATATCTTATCCGGGGGAGCATAGAACGTCTGTGATAGAATCATGGGTTATCACTCGGACTACCTACCGCCGACTTGCTTTGATTCGCCTACCGCCAAAAGGGGGGCAATTGGCGAATGGACATAAGCGGAATGATTGTAAGCACCAGAATCTTTTGATAATGTCCATAAATTCGAGGCTGTATTTGCAGGGTATCCAGAGACCTATGATAAATACACATGCAGTTTCACCGTTAGTCATCACATCAAAATTCCAAGGACTTAAATAACCAATCATTCAGCTCCCTAAGGGTCAAGTAAATTACCCGTCACCAGCATTTCCGGTCCGGGTACCTAGATTCTCTCACATCAGTTGTATTGTACCAAAAAACGATATCCTAATGATCTACCATATCCGTGGTTGCTAGAGGTTGCATTTAACTTTGACTGAGTCGATATAAATCATCATGTGCCTTTAATTTTCTTCCATGGATAGGAAAAAACCCATATGTGTCAACTCGGAATGAACACGAGTAGAAGCGCAAGGATTGAATATCTGCCTATACCTACTAATGCGGGAATTGGAGGGCCAGGAGTTCCGACTGGACGGATTCTGCAAAAGTATAATTCATGAGATCTCGAATAAGCATGGTAGAACGGATACTGTGAGGATGCTGCTTCTGATAAAGAATCTCGGTGTCGAATAACTACCCACTAATTAATGTTATTCTGATAACCTATACCTGACCACGGAGAAGATTGCATCCTTTCACATTTACTACAATTAGCAGATGAGGGCAGGAATTCTAAAGCCAATAATAATATCTTACAATTTGTACGAGGAGGAAGCCTTACCGTAGCCGGCTGGGTTTCGTAGATATCTTAGACACGGTATGTATTCTGTCCTAGAGGAACCACCTGCTAGGATTTACTTGATACAACTAACCAATCTCGCCTAAGTCACCTTTGAGGATCCAACGAGTATATTCACAAGCAGTTAACATATGATATTCTTTTGTTACACCAAGCCAGTTAGGATCAGAATGCAAACTATTATTCTAATTGGGTATGACTTAAAACGCGTGCTATGATACCCCCCCCCCAGCTTATCGCCAAGACAAACAAGGCGAATCACGCTGATATAAAGATCGGCTCGACCCCACTGATATGACACGTACCTGGTCGTACTCAATCGTACCACTACTCCACGGCAGTGCGCCCCCCCTATTGACATACTTACCGCCCTCACAGACAGACACTGCCCTCTTGTTATGGGAGAGCTAGTAACGATGTCAGGGACCGAGAGCGAGGCCACCGTGGTCGCAGAAGGCCTTCACGAAGAGGGAGAGGGAGAGGGAGAGGGAGAGGTAGAGACAGAGGGAGGGCAGGAAGAGATGGAGGCCGTGGAGGGAGAGGAGGAAAAACTATGCCCAGACTGTCACACGGTTTATACCATTGACCAATTTCAGGGCACCGACAAGAACGCTGGGAAAACAATGCGGAGGTGTATGGGCTGCCGAGCGAAACACGAAAAGCTTGTCGCCGAGAAGGAATGTTCAGATTGCCGCAAACAGCAGCCACTGGACCAATTCCAGGGCTCTGGTAAGCGCTTCGAGGGAAAGGAAATGAAGACATGTTCAACTTGCCGGTCTAGGAAGGACCATAGGGATGTGAGCTTCATGAGTACCAGGTCGAGTGAGGGAACGAAGAAAAGTCTGATCCCGGAGGTTGGGTATGTACGTGATACTCGGCTTAACAGGCTGGCGGAAAACAGGAGACAGATGCTAGATAAGATAGCTAAGCAGATGGTTGATAATGGAACCAATTTTACGGACAAGCACTGGAAGGACATTACTGAAAGCCAAAAACTCACAGCATGGGAAATTCCACAGGTCAAGGTAGGGTCCATAGTGATCTCGTCATTACCTTTGCTCATGGTCTGCCCTGCCTGCACCAGCTTGGTTTACTGATTGATATTGGGGCGGATAGAAATATATTGAGAACGCTATGGAGAATATCGAAAAGGTAGGAGAATTTCTCCGTCTATTCTCTTCCCTTTCCTTCCTTTTTTATTTTTATTTTATTTTTCGCGACACATGCTGCTGCATATTGTGTGGGGAGGCCTGCATGCTGCGTGTTTGGTGAATTGAGCCGCAGGTCTATCGCTGTATCTTATCGTGGTGGTGGTGGAAGTGGAAGTGGAGGTGTCGTGGTTGGCACACATGCTCAGGCTCCTCCCAGATTACCCAGACGCGTCTTCGGCCCTCCTTCCTTTTCCTCCTCCCCCGCCTCGCCCCGCATTTCTAGCTGTCCTTTAGTGACTTCTACATATTCATCGTAGTACCTGGGGAGAGTGCCATTTTGTACCATTATCTCAATTACCTCTCTGATTAACGATTGACTGCATAATATCTAATATTATCTCAACGTTTGCTGTCCGCGATCCCCTCCTCCTCCTCCTCCTCCTCCTCCTCTAATCCTGCCGTTCCATTCTACCCGCAATACAACCACTTCCGCCACTGACCCAGTGGCAGTGCCTGTGTGCCCAAACCATCGACTAACAATATCGTCATGTCCAGGCTCGGAAAACAGGCAAAGTTGCCGCCGCTCCTCCCGGCCGAAAAACAGCAAACTCAAGCTCATCCTCATCCATAGCTGCCGAGCACACACCAAAATCGTCGCCACACCAAACCACTTCAAAAGAACCCACCATCACACGGATGAAGCCAGTGACCCGCGGGCAAACCGAGCAGGCCGCTCCCCGTCGCAGACTAACAAATAATTCCAACCAAACTTCAATCGCCTCAATTGCGGAGTTCAGGGAGACCCCATCATCACATCAGGCCACCAGTGCCAGTGCTAAAGGATCCACCAGTTCTGGGCCAACAGCGAAAAATCCAGGCCATAAGAATGCTGGCGTCTCTACACCAACATTCATAAAAATCGACGATGATACCGCCAGTGAAGGTGAGGCATCAGACCGGGACGTCCGAGAAGTCGAGAGCAAGGCCAAATCGCCGCCCCAGACCCGTACCCAGAGCAAACACACCACTCCAGCTTCTGTCACTCGCTCCTCAACTTCCAAGAAGCGATCCACCCCACCGCCTTCCTCTAGCAGTATAGACACGGAGGATACCTACCAGCCCAAACGACCCCGCACTCAACAATCAGAGAGGGAAAGGGAAAGGGAAAGGGAAGAGGAGGAGGGAGATGAAGAGTCTAATCCCAGAGCTGATCTGGAAGCATTTGCAAACTCACTGGAACGACTGAGCAGGCTGTTGTTTGCAGCGAGGGATAATTTAAGCAGGAAACAGGTTGGGGTTCTAGAGAACGACATACACCATGACTGGAAAGTGGACGAGATGTCGACATTTGTGGAGGGTTTTTTGAGAGGGGCCGATGCCCTAGATGGACGACTGAAAGACTGATTGGAGTTCGGCGGGTCGCGCGGTAATGGGTTTGGGTTTTGGACCAGTCTTCCTCTTCTTGGCTCCATGGGGCTCTTGAAGGAGGAAAAATAATTATATACCACGATCTCCCCTTTCCCTCCTTCTACGATAATCAATATATTTATTTCTGTACGGTATAAGCATACTTTTTTTCTTTTTCTCTTGTCATTTCATTTCTGCCATTATCATGTGTCAAAAACCCTTTCCGCGGGGCACACGGGTGGGGGGCGACCAATGTTGTATCAGGGAGTTTGGAGCTCATCGTCTTTTTTTTTCCGTCTTTCTTT